TATTTTAATTTGAGTTGATTTTTTGTTAATTTTAAAATTTAAAATAGTAAAATAAATTAATAATTGATATAATGATTAAAATATAATAGGTGCATATGTTTAGTGTCTTGGACTCTTGATTGATCCATTATAACTAAAATTATATGATATCCACCCATACCAGTATATTAATTGTAATATATTTCTTCATATATATCATTAAAATTTACATTTTCTATGTATTTATATACTATTTTATGATTATTCTGATTTTAAATTTAGTGTTACTAATATATTTATAAAATTTGTATGTATTTCTCTATCATATTCATACGTTTCCATATTTTTGTTTGTACCCATGCATTTCCAAAACGTATCAATATCCATGTAATCTAATACGATACCCGATATCGATACTTTAGTACTTGGTTTCAATAATTTAAAAGTATCTGTTTAGGTCAAGGGTTTTTAAGTAAAGGTGGAGGCTTCCTCCTACCATTTTCTGCCATGTTTTTATGGTATGTTTTCATATTTTCTGGTGTTTTCATGTGTTTTCTACAATTTTTGGTTTTTTGCATTTTTCTGATTTTTTCTGCAAAAGTTATGCATTTTTTTGCTATTTTCTGCATTTTCTATAATTTTTTGGTATTTTCTACATTTTTTCAATTTCTGGTATTTTCTACATTTTCTGCTATTTTCCTCCATTTTCTTCTATTTTCTAGTATTTTCTGGATTATTTCTACGATTGTCTGTTTTTTTTTTTTTTGTATTTTCTGCATTTTTTCCATTTTTTGTTATTTTCTGCATTTTTTGTAATTTTTTGGTGTTTTTCTGCATAATTTATGCATTTCTGATATTTTTTGCATTGTTTTTGCCCATTTTCTTCTATTTTCTAGTATTTTCTGGATTATTTCTACGATTGTCTGTTTTTTTTTTTTTTGTATTTTCTGCATTTTTTCCATTTTTTGTTATTTTCTGCATTTTTTGTAATTTTTTGGTGTTTTTCTGCATAATTTATGCATTTCTGATATTTTTTGCATTGTTTTTGCAATTTTTCTGCAAAAGTTATGCATTTTTTGTATTTTCTACAATTTTTTATTTTTTTTGTATTTTCTGTATTTTTGCAAAATATCTGTTATTATTTTGTACTTTTATGAGTTTTCTGAATTTTTTGCATTTTTTGTTGTTTTCATGCATTTATGCAATTTCTTGATATTTATGCATTTTTCTGATTTTTTCTACAAAAGTTTTGCAATTTTTGGTATTTTTTCTACATTTTGCAATTTTTTTGGTATTTTTTGCATTTTCTACAAAGTTTTTGATATTTTTCTACATAATTCTTTCATTTTTGGATATATGGATCAACCTGACCCATTTCTTCCATTGGGTACTAGGGACGCCAACGGATCGGATTGGATTCGAATTTGATCCAACACTATTCATGTCAGATCCGATCTGATCCAAAGTTCCAATCGGATCTGATAGGACTCTATTTGAACTTGAATCCTATCGATAAGTTGGATCTTCAGATCTGATCTGATCTTACTTGTTTTTTAATTAATAAATTATTAAAAGAAAATTAAAATATACTAATTTAAATAAATTGAAAACAAAAATATACAAGTATTTTTTAAATATTTTCATCATATATATACATGTTATTTATAAAAAATAAATTTATACAAATATATTTATAAATAAATAGATAACATACATATGTATTATATATATAAGGGTAAATTTCTTCAACTACCTTTATGGTTTAGCTAATTGACTAAGTGTACCCTTACAAATTGAAAATTGACTAATACTACCTCTATTGTTTCTGACAATTGAACCCTTACCATTAGCATCCCTTATTATTCCATCTTTATACAAATATATTTATAAATAAATAAATAACATATATATTTATTATATATATAAGAGTAAATTTCTTCAACTACCATCCGTTATTATTCCATCAAAACCTGTATACATGCGAGACCACGTGGTGTTTAAAATTATTTTAAAACCCAATGTTACCCCCTCCCTCATTCTAAATTCATTTTGAGAGAACCGAAAAAACACTGTTCATCTTCTCTTCCCTAGGTGCCCACAAATATGGAATTCTTTAACAAAGCAGTGATCAGTTGTGCTTGAAAGATGTTGAAGAAGAAGAGGAAGAATATCATTCTCCTCAGTGGAATGAATTGTCGAAGTAGGCCATCGGATGAGTTTTTTTATGGTTCATATCAAAGATTCCTCCATCTGTTTAACACAAAGTTCCAACTCAATTGGACTCGTCTCACGTCAAAAGAAAATTGAAGATCACGATGCCATTACCGAAAACATAGTGTAATTCAAGACAGGACTTCCTCCCCTATAAGGAGCTTTCTGCGTTGCGCATATAAGCAAGAGATATCTAGAAAAATTGTAGCATAACCAAAAAACTTAAGCTTTCTATGTGGGAAATAAATGGAAACAAAGCAAGAAGAAAGGAATGATTTAAATAGAGACGAGGTTGGAAGGGGGAGAAAATCGTTGTTGTTGTTCGATGTTGAGAGCAGGAAGAAGATGAATAGAAAAAAATGGGTTGCTAGTAGAGAAAGACAGAGGGACTCTGGACATCGCCAGTGGAGAGAGAAAGAGATCGGATGAAACAAAGGTGAGAGGGATTTGGGTGATGAAGACAGACCGAGGAAGATGAAGAAAACGATGATTAACCCTTTGAAGAAAATCGGTTTTTCTTTGCCAATCTGCCCATGAAAACCCAGAAGCTCGACTCTGCCAATCTGCAATGAAAACCCTCAACACAACTCCCAACAACCCAGCATTTGTTTTAGTGGTAATTCACAGTTTTGGATTTCATAGTCAGATTTCTCCAATCAGATTCCGACCAAAAGCCAACAACCCATTTGAACCCACATTAGATTCCCACTATCAGCCTCTACTGTTACAATCAACAACAGAGACACCATGCCAAAAAACCCTTCAGAACAACAGGGGTGTAGCATAGCCTTCATCACAACCAAAAACCCCTTCACAGTCATAGGGGCGCAACATAGCCTTCATCACAACTAAAAACCCCTTCACACCACGCCGCTAGCTCGACATCATCCTTCCTGACGAGATCTACAACCTCGCCATCCAGTTGCTTACCAGCTAAAGCCTTCCTCCGATGAAACCACCATTGCAAACTGGTGCTTACTGGCTTTTCCGAAGAACACTACGACAAGGAGTGGGATCTAATCATGATCGATGCACTAAGGGGATACTTCCTAGAGGCTCCCTGGATCGTCTTACCACTTCAAAGTTCATGGAAATGCACACAAGGAGAAAGAAAATCAAAGAAGGGGGGAACTGAGAAAGAAAACACATCAGTCGCTGTTGAAAGAAAAATGAATTGGAACAAAGAAGTGGAATTTTACCTTGTCGAGAAGAAGTTGAGGAAATAAGTGTTTGCTCCTACCTGGACAAGAAAAGGAGCGCCTCTAAGTGCAACAAGAACTTTACTAAAGAGTAAGACTGAACAGAGGGAACCTGAGAAGAATCACTCAGAAATGGATCTACCAAAATCACCGCTGCCGCTACAACTTCCAACAGCAGCGGTGATTTCTTCCTCCGTCCCCTTTTCCTCTTCATTCTCCCTTTCCACCTCCGCCCTTCGCATATCAGGAATTCACCGAAAAACCCCAACTAACATAACCCTTATACAGATTACAAAAAATAGAAGGGTAAAATAGTCTTTTTATCTTATTGTTAACGGAATATTAAGAGATACTAATGGTAAGGGAAGTATTAATCAATTGTCAAAAACATTAGGGATAGCGTTAGTCAAGTAATGGTACACTTAGTTAATTAGTTAAACCATAAGGGTAGTTTAAGAAATTTACCCTATTTATAAATATACAATATATATAAGATCGGATCAGATCGGATCATGATCTAATCCCTTTGCACCCCTACACAGTAGCTTTAGTAGAGATTATTCTCTCAAAAAATGTTATTTTTCGGATATACAAGTCATCCCGACCCGTTTTCATCATGTGATAGTCTTAAGAGATGATTCACCCAAAAATGTTATTTTCGGGTATATGGACCGACTCAACCCATTTCTGCCATATGACATTCTTGAGAGAGTTGGTTCTCTCAAAGGTTGTTATGTTGGGCATACAGGCTGACCCGACCCATTTATGAATTTATAGGTGAAAGTGGGTAAAGATCAATATGGGTGGATCAAGGTTAGGGTGGGCTATGACCCTTTAACAAGCATTGATGATGGATCATGGTGGATTGGTGAATCAATATGGATGGATTGATATTCAACCCTTACCTAACCCACCCACTTGCCACCCCTAGCCAATACATACGTGATAGCACTATTTTTGGTATTACAAAGTACATATTGAGGAGAGGCACCATTCGGATTGGTTCTCCACGTGTTATGCATCGGAAAAATCTCTCTTACTTGTCATTGGAAGATGTTTCCCAATGCACAGTTGGGAAATGGGAACTACCGACCTATCAAACCTTGTCCGTTTAATAATCCAAAAGAAAAGAAGAGGAAAAAAAAAAAAAAACAGCAAAGAGAGAATGCAGTAGCACCAACGCAGGGCCATTCCCCTAACGCCACATGTTGATTATATACAAAAAACCCCGATAAATATCAACCAATACTGGCCAACGATATTGAAACTTTAAGCCTATAGCTCATAATTAGATAAATGGACGTTTGCATGAATAGAGTAGGATGGACTAATAGGATTTTGGGGTGACATTAAAGCAGCATTGCCATCATGCCTCTGTAACCACATTCTGCGTTGCTAACTCCAAGTCAAGACTGAAGTTTTAAACTTTATTAATGCCACACAATTCTCGCCTCCAACCGGCCAGCTAACCAAAAGGGGGAAAGGAAAAAGAATAAGAGGGAGAAGCTTTGGCATGATTACAGGAGACGGTATCTTATAAAGAAAAAAAAATCTGCCATCAAAGAATAAACATTTTTAGGAAGGAAAAGAATTGACACGAAGGCAATATCCTTGCTTTACAAAAATCTGTATTAAGAAATGACATTTTATTGCGCTCTTCTGTAGCATTCCAAAATGAGAAACCGAATTGAAGTAAAACAAAAATAGACCAACTTTGAGAAAAGCTACAGTAAATATAGAAGTCAGAATGGTTTAGTCCTTGGGTCACCATTCCTACACAAAGCATCCTGTGAATTAGACTCTCAGAAAGGATCCAAGACGGAGATATCCAATAGCAGTTCTCGGATGCAATTCAAGCCATTCCCTCTTTGGAGAAAGTCCCAAAAAAAACCACCTTGACATATTAGCTATCTCGGTTCAGGAGGCACCAGTTTTAAGCCGCGCATCCATTCACAGAAGCTTGGATCATCAAAGTGAAGAAAACTACTTTTGAGCTTAGCCCTCTGGTCTGCTGTTAAAGATCGAAGCTGGGGAAACCTTGCCTCCTGCATTTAATGAAAAAATATTCAAGTTAAATTCCCCATGATTATTGTTTAATCCGAACATTTTCATCTTAATTAGCAAGGTTTATGTAGGCCTTGGCCACTAAAAGACTGCAGAACATACGTTAAGTAATTACCATGAACTAGAATAGATGCATAAGGATCAACCCTCCAAAAACAAAAACAATAAGAACCTCCAAATACCTGCTCATAAGGAGGATCTTTGTGTGCTGGTATTAACCGAGAAACAAAGTATCGAGCCTGAGAACTTCCCTCCTATAGTGGATCCAAAAAAAGGATATTTTACTTGTTTTTAAATGAAATATAGAACAAACAAATAAATAAATGAGCAAGGGAAAGAATGAAATGAAAAAGAAAACAAACTTTGAAAGCGAGGATTCGAGGAGCTGGAAACCGCAATTCAGTGAGCTCTTCTGCCAGTGTTCTGCAAGCTGCTAAAGCAGCTGCACTTCTCCCTTCCTGAGCTGCTAGTTCTGCACCCTGAATGCAAAACCAACAGTGTGTAAAAATATTTGTGCAAAATCCATAGAAAATATTGCCAATGCTCAGATCTGGATAACTTATATTGTTAAATTCTATAGAAATATAACTTCCATATGGATGTGGTCCTCTTGTGGTGGTATAAATGATATGGAAGTAATGAGAAACCAGACGACTTTTAGATGCAGAGGAGGAGGAGGTAGCCCTAAGGCAATACTTATGAGCATTATCCTCCTCATTCCATTGGTCGTCTTCCCTCAAAGTATTTAAACCACAAACAGTCTTTTCTTGTGCTAGCTACACCAATACTTTTGATGCTTTGACTAGAGACTTCATTCCTTGTATAGATATGCTGATTAAACAGGCATGCGCTCACCTTTTTCTACCAATAGTAAAAATATTTTTTTAAGAAAAGTAATACGATTGTATTATATAACAAAAAGGAGAGTATATGAAATGATGTACAGCTACGCACCAAATATGGAAAAGAAACTTCACCCATTACAATGCAAAAATATGTAAGGGCATGGAACTGTAGCTACACAAAGAAGCCCTTCCTATCCCCTAGCTATCCAGACCATCAAGTGTGTGGTTAAGTTCTCTAGAATCCATCTTATCTGAATTATCATTTCTCAAATCTCATTTAGGAGATGTGTTACCTTGACAAACCACTTCCCATTAGCCAAGTCCCCTACAATCATTAATTCACATAGGCAACATTATTCAGCAATTGAGGCTTCCACTAGGGATGCCATTACAGAGGGACCAACGAAGCAACCAAAGGAAAAAGGGAAAGAAGAGCAAGCCAAAAATACCTGCATAAGCCCTATAGCACAAATACAACTTCACCCCAAAAATCTTTTTCATTTTTTTTTCTTTTGATAGATAGCAAAAACATTTTTGAGGAAGAGCAATGTGATTGTAATATATATATATATTAAAAAACAAGGCAAGCAGATGAAAGGATGTAACCATGCACAAAATATAGACAAGCATCTGTACCTGTTGCCAATGAAAAAAAACACAAGGGTATAGAGATATCGTTGCACAAAAAATGCCCTTTCTATCCCCTAGTTAGCTAGACAATCAGCTGTGTGATAATCTTATCTCAATCATCATATCCCAAATCACATTTATGAGTCTAGCCACCACTGACCACTTCCAGTTAGCCAAGTCCCCTTCAATCACCAATGCACATAGGTAAGATTGTTTAGCAACTTAGGCTCCCATTAATTGACTCCATATAATTGGATTAAGGCTTCGTTGAGTTCAGTTGAGTTGAATGAAACACAGGCAACAGGAACACATACCAACTATATCCCACCATGCCCAGCACCAAGGGCAAAAGACACCACCTCCTATCTGTACCCAAGGTTCAAATTTTCGATACAGGCTGATAGGCCAGTAGGGGTGTACTGGCCTGTATCTTGGCTCGTCTTTTATTTTTTATTTTTTTAGTTTTTCTTTCAAACTGGTTCAGAAGGATCAGTTTAAGGCTCATCTACCCCCTAAACCAGGTCAGACCTCAAAACACCCCCTGTAGGGGCATGTCAGGAAGCCACCGATACGGCCCGATAAGTATCAGAATTTTAAACCTTGTTTGCACCCCAAACCCACCCAAGACAAAATCAAAGGAAACAATAGGCACAATTATGTTCCCTAAATAGTTGTCAACATCTCACAATTTATGATTCAAATCATGGATCCCTAGTTAACGAAGAAAATCATGAATCCCAAAGGTTTCATGGATCTTATGTCTGAATCCAGTTCATGTGATTCATATCAATTTAATTGAGACCTAATTCTCTACTTTGGCATTTCTTTACTTTTAAATATTTTTTTCCAAGGGGTACTTGCTTTAAAACTCTTAATAGGATGAGGTTTATTTAGGTAATTTAAGACCTATTTATAAATCTTATGACTTGATTTTCTATCATAGGTTAAAGAGCCATTATATGTAGGTTAATGGACCTTCAAGTAAAAATTATATCTTACATTCTAATGAACACTCTGTTGTATATTTGTATTATGTACATATGTGGTAGACATGGATTAAAAATTATATCACTCTGTTGTATTATGTGAATGCTAAGATGGATGAGTGGAAAAACTAGAAAGGATAGGATTAGGAATGAAGTCATCTGTAGGAACCTAGGAGTAGCTCCAATATGTGATAAAATGAGAGTAGACAAAGATGGCTTGGGCACATGCGTAGAAGACCACCAACTGCGCCAGTTAGAAGAAGTGATTTATTACACATTGTCACATTGATGGGGCTAAAAGAGCTCGGGGTAGACCAAAAAAGACATGGGTAGTAGTAAGAAATGATTTAAGCACTAATAATTGTTTTATCTCTCACTGTCTTTTCTATGTTTTTTACTAACTGTACTATATCATTTTTCTAATCTAATGAAAATTCACAGTTGCTGATAAAAAAATAAACACTAATAATTACTTTTGATAGGGAAAATAAAATTTTCATTAAAATAAAAGAACAATACAATCTGATTGGTGATAAGTCATCACCCGCTTACAACAGAAAAAGGAAGTTGCCAAAACTCAAAATAAATTTTCCAAATTATAGATTTGAAAAACCCAAAACTTCCCCTAGCTTTTCCCCCAGGTCCTCTTGTCAATTTGTCTGAATTCTGGATGCACCATAACCCAATCAACCACCAATTTGCTAACAGCAGCTACTATCCTATCCAAACTACAGGATTTGTCATAAAAAAATCTTCTACTCCTCTCCTTCCAAATATTCCAATAGATTGCAAAAGGAATGCAGCTACAAACCACCTTCGCCTTCTTGTTACCTCTTAACTTTGGCCATGAAGAAAAAATTTCTGCAGCTGAATTTGGATGGAAATCAGATATCCCAAACATAGCAGTGAACAATCTCCACAGAAACCAGCAATCTTGCAACAGAAAAATAAATGACTGACATTCTCCTCCTGCTCTTTACATAAATAGCACCTGTTAGCCATACTGAGACCTCTTGATTTCAAGTGATCCACAGTCAAGATGCTGTCCATAGCCACCAGACACACGAAAGCTTCAACCCTTGGGGATACCGGGTTTCCCTACACACCTAATTGGCTTGAATCTGAATTGATTCTGCTGAGAGCTAAATAACAAGATTTCACAGTGAATTTTCCATTTGAGCACTCTTTCCACCACAGTTCATCCCTCGGCTGAGAAGAAATTTTCACAGCCTCTAACTTCCCCAACAGAGAAATGCATTCTTCCACCTCTCTATCCAGCAGAAGTCTCCTGAATTCCGGGCTCCATATCAATTGATCTCCCCTTCTTTTCATAGCAGCAGCTAATAGTAACTTCAGCCTCAGCCAATCTATACAGTCTTGGACATAACTCATTCAGCTTACCGATCCCACTCCAATCATCCTCCCAAAACCTAATTCTTGAGCCATTTCCTACTGAAAAACTTGTTAGACTTCTGAACTCCCTATTAAATCTCATAATCCCTTTCCACACACTCGCCCCATATGAAGACCAGTGATTTAAAAGGCACGCCTGAGGTGCACCTAGGTACACAAGCGAGGCGCATTTTAGGGTATGCACCTTGCCTAGGTCCTAGGCGCAGCCCTTTCAAAAGGCGCATGCCTGGTGCGCCTGATGTGCCCTGCACCTCAGCCCAGGCATGCACCTTTTAAAAATTTAGTGCCACGCCCCTCGAGGCAAGCTCAAACAAGTCCATGTTAGGGTCTTAAATTCTTAGTTCTCACACAAAAAATAATGATTTTATACTTTTAATTGCTTTTTAAGAAGATATTTTATTAGGATGAATGAATGCACAACATTACCAAATAGGGGGTTCTCAGAGTGCAAACTAAGAATTTAAGACCCTAACATGGACTTGTTTGGGCTTGCCTCAAGGGGCATGGCACAAAGGTGGCTCGTAGAATCAGGAATGTAATATGTTTTACATCACATTAGCTACTTGAAGTAATGCAATTGAGGAAAAAAAGAGATCGTGGGTTTTACGTGCTTGAAAATGTTTTATATGTTTGATTTTATTTTTAAATTCTAATTTGAATATGCTTTACATGTTATGTTTACGTATTTTAATTTTAGATAATAGGTTTTTTACTTTTTAAAAACATTTATTTTAAAATTTAAGTTTATATTTTTTACTAATATGTTTAATATTTTTTGAATTTTTTGGCATTTTTGAAATTTCTATTTTTTTTTTATTTTTATTTTTGCGCCTTGCTTCAGAAAGGCGCACGCCTCGGACGCAAATTGACCCCTGCACCTTTTTTTGCGCCTTGCGCTTTTAAAACACTAATGAAGATCTCACCTCTCTAGGTTCCCAACCAAACCTTACCACCCCATACTTCCCCACCACAATTATTCTTCCTCTCTCCCTAACCACTTTCATTAAGGCCCTGAATCTCCCTTTTCCTTCAGTTTACAGATCTTATCTCATTTCACCAAGTGAAATTTCTTTTCCCCTCCCTCCCCACCCACACCCTCCCACAAGAAGTCCCTCTGTACCTTCTTGATTCTTTCAGCCATTTGAGTTGGGATCTTCAACAAGGACATACAAAAGTAGGTAAACTTGAAAAGACACTTTTAATTAAAGTAATATCCCCCCCAATGAGAGATATTTTGCTTCCCACCAACCCAACCTTTTTTCAACCCTCTCCAAAATTGGTCTCCGCAAGCACCTGAATTTGAGCCCCCACCCCCATTGGGATACCCAAATCTGCACAATCCAACAGAACTTCCCTTTCAATATCTCCAACTCCAATCAATACACTCTCTGAGAGGTTAACCTTCAAGCCTGTTAACAATTCAAAATTTGCCAAGACTGCCCTCAAATTTAACACTTGTTCAACCGAGGCATCCAGAACAAATGAAAGTATCGTCTGCATACTGCAGATGCTGAGATACATGGACCATCCCTTCCCACCTTAAAATCCTCAATTAAACCCCTTTGTCCACTCCTCATCAAGAGAAGGTCCAATACCTCCATGACCAAGACAAATAGCATAGGAGATATTGGATCTCCTTGTCTCAAACCCCTAGATGCTTGAAAAAACTCCCTGGATAAACCATTTATAAGGATAGAAAAAGAAATTGTAGACATACAAGCATACATCCAAGTTCTCCATTTTTCACCAAAACCCATTAATCTTTGAATTTCTTCTAAGGAACCTCACTCCACGTGATTAGAAGCTTTCTCAGAATCAATCTTACACACCAGACCTGGAATCAATGCATTCACTTGCCACTAAGACTCTGTCCAAAATCTGCCTTCCTTCCACAAAAGCCATTTGAGATTCTCGGCAACCTTATGCAGAACTTTCCTCAATCTCTTTGATAATACTTTAACCAACAGCTTGTATGGATTGCTTATTAAGCTCTTTGGTCTAAAATCCTTCAATTCCACTACTCCCTCCTTTTTTGGAATCAAAGAAATGAAAGTAGCATTCACCATCTTCTCCAAATTCCTCTCCCTATGGAATTCCTTAAACATCAAATCAAAATCTCTTTCCAACGTATTCCAACATGTATTAATAAAAGCTAAGTCAAAGTGATCTGGACCCAGGGCTTTATCCCCATTTATGTCTTTTAAGGCTTCTTTGATCTCCTCCAGCCCGAATTCCATTTCAATCCAAGTTGTTGAAGCTTCACTCAACTTCTTGGGAGCCATCTCCCCTAGAGACATCCAGCTCCAAATTCTTGAGGTGTATAAACTCTTATAAAAACCAACCACCTTCTCCTGAATTTCATTCCAGGCCTCCACCATCT